CTCCCCGGCCTGTCTCCCCGACCCTGCCCTGGCCCGTGCCCCCGCGGCCCGTCCCCCGCCCCATCCCTCGCTGGGGATGCTGCCGCCGGTGAGTCCCCGGGCAAAGTCCCCGTCTCGGGAGTTCCATTGGAAACGGAACCTGGTTCCTCTGCTCGGGGGCTTTCTTCCACTCCAGGCATGTCTACACCTAATTAAATGTAATTAAACACACCCGGTGTAAGCAGCCACCCGGGTTCCGGAGGCAGCGTGCTGGCTGAGCTGGGTGTTTTGGTGGTGGTCACATCCCCCTTCCTCGTGGGGCTGGTGGGCGGAATAATGGATCGATTGCTGATGAAAATGGAAACAACACCTTTTAGTCCTGCACTTTTGGTGAAGTGGAGCTGTTGACGCAGTGAATGAATATCAAATATTTCAGCCCAAAGTGAAATAGTACTTAAATGACCGTAATTTAATTTGTAAATGAGTGTAATTTACCAAAACACAACTTTCCCCAAAACCTCTCAAACCTAGCCATTGCCTTGGACTTGGTCATCTTAAAGGTCTTTTCCAACCTCCACAATTCTATGGTTCTCTGGTTCTGCAATTCTTAAAGTACCAACCCTTCTGATTTCCAAAACGTAGCTTATTTTTTAGTGGGTTTTGTCTGTTCCTTTTTTAGATTCCCTCTGAAGGATTCAAAGCGCTTGATTCAGTGGCTGAAAGCTGTTCAGAGAGACAACTGGACTCCCACCAAGTATTCCTTTCTTTGCAGTGAGCACTTCACCAAAGACAGTTTTTCCAAGCGGCTGGAAGACAAGCACCGGTTGCTGAAGCCCACTGCTGTCCCTACCATCTTCCAGCTCGTGGAGAAGAAGCACGACAAGCTGGATTATGTCAGGAGCCGAAGGAAAATAGCCAGGCAGGTGCCGGTGCGGGATGGGGAGGCCCTGCGGGAAGGAGGCGGTGAGGTAGCACAGGGGGCCCCGTCTTCTGGCCAGGACTTCATGGTGATGCAAGGGACGAAAGAGATGGAGGAGGCCACTCTGCAAGAGGAAACAGGATCCGTGTCCGAGGAGGAAGAGGCCCTCCACAGCCAGCTGGACGGCCCTCGGAGAAGGACGTTAGGGGATCATTTGGGGGCGAAGCCTGGAGCGCAGAAAAAGCCGGAGAGGTCTCCTGTGGAGGACTGTGCCAGGGGCAGCTGTGCGGGGAGCTGGGTGGCAGACAGGAGCGGCGTGTCAGTGGACGACTTCACCCCTCCTGCCTCCGGTGCTTGCAAGTTCATCGGCTCCCTCCACTCGTACAGCTTTTCCTCCAAGCACGCCAGGGAGAGGCCGTCCCTCCCCAAAGAGCAGCTAGAAAGGAAAAGGCCAAAGAGAGATGTGGAACCAAGCTGCAGCAGCCACCTCTTGGGACACGACAAGGCCGTCGCAGAGGTCTCCCCGACGTCGTCCCTCACCGCGACCCCCCAGAAACCCTGCCAGGGTCTGTCGGCGTCCCCGGCAGACCTGACCCCTCGGCCCGCCACCGAGGCCGTGGTGGGGCGGAAGGGTGACACGGACGCCAACCCCATGTCCATCAACGAGGTGATCATGTCGGCCTCGGGGGCCTGCAAGCTCATCGACTCCCTGCACTCGTACTGCTTCTCCTCCCGGCAGAGCAAGAGCCAGGTGTGCTGCTTGCGGGAGCAGGTGGAGAAGAAGAACGGAGAGCTGAAACTTCTGAGGAAGAGGATCAGCCGCTCCGACAGCCAAGTCAGGAAGCTGAAGGAGAAGCTGGATGAGATGAAGCGGAACAGTTTCCCTTACTTGAACAGCTTGATATCCCAGGACTGTGGTCAGTATTCCCAGGGGTGCTGCACTGAGGTGGAATTCCCTGTTTCCTTAGAGGTGTGATGGGGAAAAGGTATGAGAAAGGGACACTCCGGGAAGGATAAGTAGCAGCTTGTATAAGACCTATGGATACATTTTAAAGAATTCCCTCAGTGGGCACACAAGTTAGTTCTTACATCCCTAACCTTTCCAAGATGTGGAATGGGAATTTAGGTTGTGGTGTTGCAGGCAACTCTCTTGATGGATTTATTTTCTTTTCTTTCTGGCTTATTTTAACTTGTTTATGACACAGTGCCTCCTGTTAGGATTTTCCTTCTTCCTTTAGAGCATGCCTGTGATTTTTTTTCTGGTGTGTTAATGAGCTCTCCTAGCAGCAGGTATTTGGGAAAGCCGTTATTGTCCTCAATGGCATAAGAAACAGCTTTGATATTGGATTTCATGTACTGCACTTGGTACTCAGGATACAGGAAATGTAAGCGGGGAGGGAGGTGTTAAATATGACAATATTGGTGTGCACACTGAGCTCACAATTTGTGAGCAAATGTCTGACTTTCCTCCCTTGGAAGGCAGAAGAAGTCCGTCAACATGATAAAGCAGGGAATGATGGAAAATGCTTCTCTATCAATTGCAAAAATAACAATTAAGCACCTGGAAGCATAGGGAAACTCAGTGAGGGATGTGGTCATGTAAAAAGTTTGTTACCTAGAAGTCAAATTGGGCCATAACCCTTCTTGCAAAAAAAAAGTGTCTTTTAATGTACAATTTGTGCACTGTCACTGTGGCTGCAAGGTGCATTTCAGAGCAAGAGTTAGGACCATCTAATGGTCTAGTGCTGTGTGTGGCTGCTGAGAAAACATTGGGTTGCCTTGGGAAGGATTCATGATGTGGGGCTTGCTTTCAGAAGTTGTCACCTGTGGAGGGCTGGGTGTCACCCGATGGCTAATTCTCACCTTTCCTTTAGGAGAAAAACTTCTTGGCTTCTTCTGGAGCTGTTGTGCAGTCAGAAAGGTAATGCTGGCATAGACAGGCACATTCTCCAGGCTGTTGCAGCACGGCCAACTTCCTCACTGAAAGAGGAAAGTAGACCCTAACAAGATTCATGAAGGTCAACACCCAGCACTACTTTTGCCATATGTATCTAATTTTTCAAAGTATGGGAAAATTCACACTTTTATTTGGATAGAGGGGGAAAAGGTTTTCCCCCTAGGAAATCTTGTTTGTACCTTCTGGTCTGTATTTTTGTATTGTTTAGGTGTCAAGCTAAAGAAAATTACCAAATGCAACTTTAGGGTTCCATAGTTGTCATTCCTACATATATATATGTATATATGTATACATATGAAATATTAATTAATTTTTATATATATCTATATTTTTAAAAGGGTGTCTCCCTTTGTTACCTTCACTGAGATACTAATTGCAGAAAGAGTATCTTTAAGGATGTTTTTCTTTATTCTGGTAAGCACTATGATTTTTCTCCTTTTTCCCAAGATTAGTGTTTCTATATGCATGTCTTTGAGAAGTGAAAATTTTATGTCCTTGTAAAAGATATTCTTAATATTTGAGTTACATGCTCTGTTTTATAAGGGAAGACATAGTTTTCCTTTAAGAATTGACCAATTAATTACCCATTCTGCCATCTTTTGTCAATAAAACTGGAGATCAATGTGTGAAAATGAACCATTTTAGCAGCTGTAGCTTGGCATGGTGAGAAGTTTATATGGAACCCTTTGGCTGCAAACTTTTTTAAAGGGTTTGTTGCTGGCTGATTGGCTTTTTGGATTTTTTTTGGTTTTTTTAGCTTAATCTTGGTGCTCTTCTGTTTTAGACTCTTTTTTTTTGTGCTTATAGTAATAGTTTGTGGCAGCAAAAATAGCTGATGAAATGTAGCCAGCTGCTGCCAGGCAGAGTCTGGTTCATGCCCAGACACTTGAGTTTTACTGTAATACAAAGTTGAGTTAAGAAAGGCTTTTCATATTCATAAAAGTACAGTCAGGTAACACATCAGGTTAATAATAGTCTTTGTCAGTAGCCACGACTCAGTTGTCCCAACTCATCTGATGTGTGGTTGAGGTAATGATTTTAGCTGTGAACCTGAGCCTGCATATTTTTTTTCTGCTAAAGGCAGTTCCTTGAGTAGAAGTACCTGACTGGACTGACTGTGCAGGTTGTTACCTGTCTGCATCCCTCACATTCAGCTATTTCCACAAAATCCTGAGCACAAAAAACGAACTTTAGGCCCACACCCACACAGCAGAACTTTGTTTTGGTGCTAGTTCTCACATACTTTCCTCTAATGAGACAAATAAATTTCTGCTGGCTGTATCCAAGCTCCAGCTGGCTGGGAGGAGCAGGTTTCTGCAGGACTGCTGCACAGCACTGCCTGCCAGCCATGCTTGAGGCTGGGTGACTCAGGCTGGGCAAGTGGCTCCCTACTCCAGCTATCACGATGTGCTTGAGTGGTGTTTCCCAACTTGTCTTACCAGGGGGATTGGCTGGTTTAGGAGAAGCCCCAAGCTGTCTCCAGCACTGCACAGCTGCCATGGTGGCCTTTTCCATCTAAACTTTGAATTTAGGCGTTTGTTTGGTAGGAAAACATTTCCTTCTGTTTCGTGAAGCCCATGGACCAAAGGCTGAGGAGTGCTGTTGGTGGATGAGCACGCTTGGGCATGGTGTAGCAAGCAGGACAGGGTTAGATGTAGCTTCTGGAGGATGACAGGATGCACTGGGAGAAATGAGGGACGGCCAGCAAGCAAGCAGGGATGTGTCCTGGGGAAGGCATGGCTGTTCTAATAGCACTGTCCTCTGCTAGCCAAGCCTTCTCTGACCATCTTGTTCTGCATGAAGGTCTTGCAGCTCTGCTGCATCAGCTGTGCTCGCTCAGACAGGAGATCCCAGCAGCTCCTTCCACAACATCACCTCCTCTTGCCGTGCCCCAGTTTGGTCTGGTTGTAAAACTACATCTCCCAGCAGGCAGCAGGATCGGTGTCTTCCCCAAACCTGAGCTCACTTCCCTCATAGCCATCTTACCACCCTGCACAAAGCATCTTCTGGGGGCTGGCGGGCTGCAGGTTGAGCAAATAGCAAAATATCTGCGAATATGGCTGGATGGACAGATAGGATTCCGTGGGATTCAAGCTCTTGTGTTCATCAGAGAGGTAAAGCTCTTAGGATTCATCTGCTTGGTGGTATGAGGAGCCTCCTCCATGCTGCATGTCTGTTTTCATGAAGGTCATATTAAAGGCAGGAGAGTTTGTAAAATGAGTTCATGTGAAAAATGGTTAGAACTCTGCTAGGAATCTGCAGGAAGTCTGTCTTGGAGTTGTCTTTGAATATCTCTGCAAAACCAGTGTAGAAATGGGGTCATTTACAGTACTTTTTTCATGTAAATGAAGCATAGTTGGCGAACTGTGGGGCAAGCAGAAGGACCAGAAGACTTTAATGCCTCGTTTTGTGCTGAGGTGGAGTCTTGAGGCATGGTCTGTGGGGCCTGAAGTGGTGTTGCCCATCGTGGTGGCAACAGATATCATTCATGTAGAAAAGGAGTAGCAAAATCCCATTCCTGACTGGCAGTGACAAATGAGGTTGTGCATGGATGGATGAGCTGTGCTTTTACCTGTCTGAGAAGGACTGGACCAGCAGCGGGCTGGTGTCCAGTTCTGCTTGAAAATGAAATGTGTCTAATGGGTCACAGAGGTGTGCTGTCAGGGAAATTCCTCTACCAGGGCAGGCACTGCTAGCCTGGCAGTTGCATGTTAACTTGGAGCTAGATATTGGGAGAAAACTGCTTTTATTGTGAGACAGCAGGTGCTGCTTGTGATTTTTCTTGTGTCCTGTCTGGGATGGCAATGGCCAGGGTAGAAAATCGGTCCATAGGGTGGGCATTGCAAAGAACAAGGGAGCTATAAAATACACTGAGAGTGAGATGAGGAGTAGGAGTGTGTGCATAGGGGCTGAATCCATGGCAGAAGGTGTCTTGAGAGAGGCTGGGTAAGACTTCACTGTGGCCTGAACACTTGGGTGGGAGGTGAACTGTTCTGTGCTCAGCATGGGAGCAAGCAGTGTGCAGGCACGCCAGCTTTGGGAATTGGTTGAGGAAGACTCTTTGACCTCCCCCTTGGAGAGAAAGGCAGTTGGAAGGGAAGAAACAAGACTTTTTGCGCTGGTGTTGTTTTTTTGGGGTTTTTTTTTGTTTTTTCAGTAGGATGGTCTTGTTCTTTCCAGGGTTTTTTGCCTAATGGAGTTCGTGCATTAAACATTTAATTTTGCAGAGAGTCGGCAGTGACTCACAACAAAAACCCAGCTTGCAGCTAGGAAGCAATGAAACAGCAAACTAAGGAAAACTCAAGAGAAAGAGCTCAGGTAGAGTGTTTGGTTTCTCATAATAGAATATAATTTAAAAAATGTTTTCTTTGTATCTTGTAAAGCAGAATTCTGGCAGTGACTACAGGCACTAGAGCATTACCACCTTGGCACTTGGCTATGAAGTTAATTATTGACTCTATAGCATGAACATTTGTGAATATAACCACATTCCCAGCCTTTGGAGCAGAGATGGGATGATCTGTGCAACAGCTGATTTGCTGACACTTGGTGGGTTGCATCTTTCTTGTGGGAGAAGGAGTTCTAGCACAGGAGCTGGTAGGGCTTGTTGATATGGCCTTAAACTAGTTTGGAAAGAGACAAAGCCAGGGTCACCAGTGATGACCAATGAGCTGGAGTGCCTAAACTTGAGGAAAGGAGCACTAATGGGAACCCTCAAATTGATTCACCAGGTGTTGTCTACAATGTACAACACCAGGAATGTCTCTGCATTAATACACCCAGCATGAGGGACCAGCGAGGAGCTGGAAGCTTTGGCTCAGTCCCAGAGATCTGGCACCATTGGCATAAGTGAAACCTGGTGGGAGTTTTCCCTGTGACTAGAGTGCCCTGATGGACAGTTCCAGGCTTTTCAGGAGGGATAGGCAGGGCAGGAGAGGCAGAGGGGTGCCACTGTATGTAATGGGAGGGTTGGAGTGTCTGGAGCTCACAGTTGGCAATGGCACAGTTGAGAGCCTTTGGATAAGAATCAAGGGGCAAACAAATAATGTGGATTTCACAGTGGGAGTCCACTCTGGACCTCCCAGCCAGGATGATGACACTGACAAATTATTCCTTGAAAAACTAAGAGAGGATTCCAAATCAACTGCCCCAGGGGACTTCAACCTGCCAGAAATTAACTGGGAATATCACACAGCTGATACAACCCAGGCCAGAAGGTTCCTAAAACACCTGCATGACAACTTTATGGAACTTTATGGGCCCTCAGGGAGCTGACTTGGAAGGATGATTTTGATCTCCTGCTTGTCATCAGAAAGGATCTTGCGAGTGAGGGGCCAGCTAGGCCACAGTGACCATGGAGCCATCAAATTTGAAATCTCTGGTGACAGGAGGAAGAGTACCAGAAAAACCTCAATTCTGGCCTTGAGGAGAGCAGACCCCAGGCTGCTCAGGGAATTAGGGAATAAGGTCCCCTGGAAAATGTTTTTGCAGGTGCTACGGTCTATCAGTGCTGGTCACTTTTAGACATCATCTCCAAAGGGCACAGGAACAGCAATTCCTAAATGTCAGAAGTCAGGCAGGTGAGGCAGAAAGCTGGCTTGGCTGACCAGGGATTTATCTTGGAAATAAGATGGAAAAGGAAGGTGTGTGTCCAGTAGAAGCAAGGTCAGATGATGGACATTTGCCAGTCACAGCCAGCACAGCTTCCTGACAATCACCAGCTGTGTGGTGTTTAACAAGGGCAAGTGCTGGATTCTGCACTTAGGACAGGGCAACCCTGGCTGTGTGTGTGGAGTGGCTTAGGGTCAGGGCTGGAGACCAGCTGTGGGAAGGGACCTGGGGGTCCTGGTCCATGGCAAGTTCAATATGGATCATCAGTGTCCTGGCAGCCAGGAGGGACACCCAATGCATCAGGCCCAGCATTGCCAGATGGGCCAGGGAGGGGATTGTCCCACTCTGCTGTGCTCTGGGATGACCTCACCTTGAGACCTTGAGGCCTGGAGGAATGTGACAGTATAAAAAAGACATTGAGGTGTTGGAGAGTGTCCAGAGGAGGCCATGAAGATGGGGAAGGGTCGGAAGAAGCCTTACGAGGAGTGGCTGAGGGCACTTGATTTGTTCAAGCTGGAGAGGAGGAGACCGAGGTCAGACCTGACACAGGGAAGTGGAGAGGCAGGTACTGATCTCTTCACTCTTGTGACCAATGACAGGACTCAAGGAAATGTCATGAAGCTGAGCTGGGGAGGTTTGGGTCAGATATTGGGAAGAGGTTTTTTACCCAGAGGATGATTGGGCATTGGAGCAGCTCCCCAAAGAAGTGGTCACAGCACCAAGCCTGGCAGAGTTCAAGAAGAGTTCAGACAATGCTCTCCAGCACACGGCATCATTCTCGGGGTGTCCAGTGCAGGGCCAAGAGTTGGACTCGATCCTGACAGGTCCCTTCCAACTCGTTCTGTGATGGAGCTACTGCACATCAGTGCCAGGAATGTTTTGCTGGTTTGCTGGGGAGAGCATCAGCCAAGTGCCTGAAGGGGTGCAACTCTCAGGGGAGAGCAGCAGAGTATAAAGCCACCCTCTGTATTTAAATATGGACAGAATATACCAAGTGAGGCTGCTCCTTGATTACCAGAACCTTGATGATGATGATTTAAACCCAGAGAGCAACTGTGTTCAAGGAAGAACTTCAGGGAACTGCCCAGTTGATGCTGCAGACACCACACTTTGAAGACTCAGAGATTGTGTTTGGGGGTTTTTTTGTGGGGTGTTTCTTTTTGTTGTTTGTATGTGTCTTTTTCTGAAGTTTTCTGCAGGCAATGTTCCCCAGCTTAAGGAAATATGTTAGCTGCCTTGTCAGCAACCAGCTGGCCACTCACTGCGGCTTTACTGATAAAGCTGTGTAGGAATTTGTGCCAGCATAGCTTTCTGTGCCAGGGATCCCACTTGAGAGCCACGCTGGCTGTGTAGACATGGCCCGAGGGGGCTGTCCAGCTGCTCTGTCTGGTTTGTTTCAAGGCAGGGAAAACTCAGTGTCTCCTGTTGCAAAGACTGGACAGCCAGTTCCAGGCTGACTGTATTACAGTGAAGGGTGGGATTTGACTTGTAAACTCTCCAGGAATGGAAAAGATGCAGGAACAGTCTATCTGTGAGTTTTGGAGAGATGGAGCAGGGCCAGGTGGTGAAATGGAGCTGACCCTGGCATGGTATTTATGGCCTGAGTGGCTTCCTGAAGGAAGAAGAACAAGGTGATCAGATTGCTTATGGGTGTATGGTTTTGTCTCCCAAACTGTTACAGCTCCTGAATGTCATGGCTGATTTCAGTGAGATTTTGTAGATCCACAGGATGGTTTGAGCTGAAGGGACCTTAAAGCTCATCTTGTTCCAACCCCCTGCCATAGACAAGGACACCTTCCACTACATCAGGTTGTAGAGGAGCGGGGTCTTGGAGATGCTGGATCTCTAATGGTTCCAGAAAGTGTAGAAGAAGGTGACTCAGGAATGTCCTTGTTAAGAAAGAGGATGCACAGAGCACTTCCCTGTTAGCAGATAAAAGAGGAACTGTGCATGTGAATGCAGGAGAATCAGCATTAAGAAGACCCTCTCTGAGAGTGAAGTTTTAATCGTGCAGAAGGGTCACCAGGGTCTCTTGCACTGCAAATTCTCAGATGTCATTTGTATTCTTGATATCATCATACATTTACCTTTTAAACCACATTACTGGGTTTTTTGTAAAAATGATGTGCCAGGAGTTGAGACCTTTAAAAAGGGATGTACAGGCTCCTTCATCAGTGTCAGTATTGGCATTTTAAGAGAGACAGGACTACTGGGAGAAGTCTTAAAGCATGATTTATTACTCTTCTTCTGCAGTCTCATGAAGGAGTGAGAACGTCTTCACCATATTCACCAGCTGTTTGTGGTCAGTGGTCATAAGACCGCAGGTTACAAGGTCTCTTAAAGGCTAAGTAGCCAATAAACTACTGCCACAAAGAATGTTTCACTTTCACACCAATAGTTAATTATTTTGTCTTACACATCTATGGAACAATGTAGACATTCTTAACCAATCATATAATTTCACACAAAACTACTTGTTATACTTTAAATTTCTTATTACCTTTATAACTACTTCTATATCTTAACTTTAAAATCTGAAAACTTTCCACTACCTATCTTAATGTCTTTCTAGCTAAATTACACACCCACATTCTTGCCTATGGTCTCTAAATCCTGAAGCATTTTCCAAGGTCTCAGGTTGAACCCTGTATTCATTTCTGTGTTTGGGCCTGCATGCACAAGATCTCGAGAATTTTCTGTGCTTGGAATTCCCACAGTCAGAGGAGTTTCTCTTGACAGTGACTGTATCTATAAACCTGAAATTTGGACCAAAGCAGCTCAGCAAAGAACTTCTTGTTGCTGCAATAGTCCTGCATTTACCTGCCCCAACCAGAACATAAAAAAGCAAGTTACTTTTCAAATGGCTGTTTTTTATTCTAATGGATTCAATCAGATTCTGTCCTGTCTGCCTCCCCTCTTGCTTTTCCACTCTCTCAGCCCAGCCTTCCAGCCAGGAAGTCAAAAAGTCCACCAGTCAGAGACCAGCACTGAAGGTAAGAATAGCACTGCTTGGGATGAGATCAGGGTGTCTGTATTTACCTGCACTTCACTGAGTCTCTGGTCCTTATTCAGTTCTGCTGCTCTTGAGTTTTCCAAGCCACATGAGAGCTAAAGAACTCTTTAGCTTTGCTGTCATCTAGGTAGTTTGGAAAAGTAATAATGATCACTTGTCCATGTTGTTTGCCCAGGTGCCAGAAACTTCAGGGGTTACAGTTACATCTTCACTTTTCAGCTGGCTGGAATTCCAGCTCTTTGGAAGTGAGACCAGCTCACCAGGTCAGGCTGCACAGCAGGGCAGTGGGGTCAAGCTGGGGGTGCTGGAAATGATCACTTGGCTTCTCTTGGTTTATAATCAGGTCTAAAGAGTGGGAATGGCTAAAGCCATTCCTTTCATCTGTTGTTTTGATGCTTTTCCTGAAATGCAAGCAGAAGAAAAGGAAGCACCCTATGAAAGCATTGTGGTGACAGAAACTGTCCTGCTCCAGGGATGCTGACCCAGGAGAGGGCAGCAGCAGCCCAGGCTGCAGGCTCCTGTAGCTTTTCAAAAGCTTTGTTTTTCACTTCCGTTGTGGGAGATGAGCCTGCAAAAAGCGTGGAAAGAAATGCAGCAAACATCAGCTGGACGGGGGAGCAATATGCTCCTTAGCCACAGAACTGTGTGCTCTCCTCATGGAATTGGAAAGCTGAGTACAAGGAAAATACTGCCTGGTACACTGACACTACTGTACAGATTGTGGGACCACCTTTTCAAGTCCTGGGCAAGCTGCTGGGACTGCACATTCTGACAAGGATGTTCTACAGATCCTGGCTCTGATGCTGTAGACCTTTATCACCGATTTCCTGGTGAACTCTCATGTTTCTTCCCTTACAAAATACTTCAGGATAAAGCAAAGCAAGTAGCAGCACTTTGCTGACACGGGCTGGCTTTTAAAACCTGCTGTCTGTGGGAGAATGAGTACCACAAATGGTCTCTTTTACCCAGGAAAGTTGCTGTTCCTTCTCCTTTGGCATTTCAGGTGTGGACTGTCCTTCCTTGCTCAGTCTTTTAGCTTGACATTTCATAAAGAGCACAGTGAAACTGAGACTGATCAAGCAAATTTTGGCCACAGTCTTGCTTGTTTAGGTTGTGATTTCTCCCTGCAGTTGAGTCTGTGCCTTTTAGACCAGCCAGACAGGCAGCTTGTTCTTGTATTCTTGATCTCACTAGGTGTGGAAAACACCCCCCTGGAACACCCACCTTGCCAGTATGAAATATTTATCCCATGAGGGGGAGGAGGATGTGCTTTAAGCTTACTTCAGTCATATCTTTCTGCATTACAGACTACTGAGAGTAGCAGGCACCCCATTTGTGTGGGAATCCATCTTTCCCATCATCCCATGGGTGATATTTTGCTTTCCTTACTTACACTTTAGTAATTGATTTGCTCTGTTCTTCACATGGCTTTAAATTGTCTCCATTTTCCTGATGTATTTTTTTCAGGTCACAACCTCTGAAAGTAAAATGTAAAACTGTTTATCTAAACTCTCCTACAGCACCAGGCCTGACAGGCTTTAAGAAGCATTTGGACAATGCTCTCAGGCACATGGTGTGACTCTTTGGGATGGGCCTTGTGGGTTCCTTCCAGCTCAGCTAATTCTGTGATTCTGTAAAATGGTTTGTTAAAGAAGTTTTAACTTCCTGAAACAGACCTTGGTTGCTTTTTCATAACTGCAGTGACAAAGGGAAGTATCTTTCTCTTCCATTTACTCTTTACCTTACAGGCATCCAAGTATTTTTAAAATGTTTGTCTTAGTCTAGAGCCTTAGTAGAACAGCTTCTTCATGGTCTTTGCCCGTCTCTTTGTTCAGGCCATTGTTAACCTCTTAGAAAATATTATAGCCAAACTGATCTTGAATATGTACACAGCCTGATTTTCTTTTGAAATGGGGACTCATTTCCTTGGCCTCTGAAACAAGCTGGAAATGTATGTACAGGTATGTACTCAGTGCTTGAGAAATATTAGCCCAGATCATTAAGAGTTTCATTATCACTTAATGATTATTCTTTATGCTGAGGTTTCAGTCATCTTCTTCCCTGCATGTAGATGAGAGGGGGCTTTTCTTTCAGATCAAGCTGCAGAGAGGAGTCAGAAGTGGACCACCTGCAAGAGAGCTCTGTGGTTTGGAAACAGACCCATTTTCCATGACTGTTTGTTGTTCCCCATCTCCCACCTTGGAGCTGGCCCTGCTCCGAAGGAAAGCATGGCTGTGGTGTTGAGCCATTTCTGAGGTGTTTTGTGTTCACCTCCAGCCAGCTGGAGGCAGCTCACAGCAACCTGCAGAGCACAGATCCCTGAGTTTTCTTTCTTCCTTCTTTTCCTCCACAGAGACTCCCCAGCTGAACCCTGTGATGGAACCCCTGTCCTGGATGCTGGGCACCTGGCTCTCGGACCCGCCAGGAGACGGCACCTTCACTACAATGAAGCCTTTCCAGTACCTGGAAGAAGTGCACATCTCTCACGTGGGGCAGCCCATGCTCAACTTCTCGTAAGTTGAGGGCTGTGTCTGTATTGGCAGCAGCTTTGAGCAAGCATTTCTCCAGGGTGGTTTGTTAATTGGGTTTCTTTTCCAAAGGCAAAGTACACAAATTTTCACCTACCAAATGAGATGATGTTATGGTATGTGACTGCATGCTCTGACTTTCATTTTCCTTGAAAACTTGTGATTAATTTGCATTCTTTGTGCAATTCCCACTTAGAATAAACGAAGGAACTATGACATGGCTACCATGTCCATTTTAAGCTGTGGCAGCCAGTGTTCACCACTGTGAAAATCTGAGAGAAATTAGTGCTTATCAAACCATATGGGAAACGAGGCAGGTAGCTTAACTACTTGCTTTGGCTGAGAGTGGTTGTTCTAATAGAAATCAAAAGAAATCCAGAGGGAGGGATGTGACAAGTTGGCTACTGCTCAGTACTGCTTCAGTGTTCCTTTGGGAGGGGTGAGTTGGAAAGCTAAGTGAGTTGAAAACTAAAGAAAGAAGAATTTCAAGATGGAAGTGCTGTGTGAGAGATGCCCTGTGTTCCTGGAGTGTGAGGGAGCTGCCAGCTCAGCCTGTCACTGCTTTAGTCCAATTTCCAGAGGGAAAAAAGCTCTGACAGTCTTGCTCTGGCCACACCTTCCTCCCCAGCTTGTGAACAGTTGCTTATTTGAGTCATCTTTTTTTTCCCTCCCTTCTTTTGTTTGTTCCAATGAGTTACACAGCTGTGAACTGGTGAACTTTAGGAAGTGCCAGGAAAATAGACAGCAGTCTTGGAGGATAGACACCCTACCTATGTTTTTCTGGCTCCTGGAGCAGTGGCTCATAAAAAACAGTACCTGTATCCCTTAAATCCTCCAAGCACTGAAAGCTGCCTGATTTAAGTTTGTTTCTCCTTTTATAAGTATCACCCATGTTAGGGGTGACCAAACCTACACTTCTTAAGGCCTCCTGAAAAATAAACAAGAGTTTGGGCTGAACTTTTTATCTTTTTGAAGGGGGTGATGGGAGAAATATGTCTGCTGTGTTGCTTCCTACAGCAGGGAATATACAGAAAAAAACTTTGCCAGGTGTAAAAGCTAAATAAAGATGTTACAGTAATTCCAGGCATTTATTTGAGAAATAGAAGTTTTTGAGACATATGTGGCTTCAGTATCTGTGAGGTATCTGAGTTCCTGAGGGGTTTCTGAGCTAGTTCTTAGAAAGACCCAGAGGCTGTGGAAAATCTAAAGCTTGAACTTAAAGACTTAACTCCAGCTTTAAGAAATAGCTGTGCCTCTGTAAAGTAAGTGTATTTTTTCAGGTTTACAGCTTTCATCTCTGAATTATTGTCAGTCTTTTACTCTTCAAAGAGTACTATAGGCACTCATGTGGTTAAATAAGAGGAAGCCAGGACAGAAGAAGTCTTCTGAGTGCAAAACACATCAGCTTTTGTGCTCTGATTTCTTTCAGATTCAACGCTTTCCATCCGGATACTAGGAAACCCATGCACCGGGAATGTGGATTCATCCGCCTCAAACCTGACACTAATAAGGTGGCCTTCATCAGTGCCCAGAACACAGGTACACACCTGGTACCCACACTGGGGAAAAGAAGAGGTCCTTACCCTGCTGGGTCATTTCATCACTTTTTCAGAAAGTTCTTGCCCCTCTCACAGTTTTATTTAATTAATTCTCCCTGTTGGAATCGCTGCTCCTTGGCACTAGACCCACAGTGGTTCCTAAACTAGGAGAGCCTCCAGTGTGTAGATGTAGCACCTTGGTACTTCTAACCTTATGGGGAATGAATGAGAGAGAACCACAGCTCAGTTATTATAAGTGAAAGTGTTAAACTCCAGTTGATGCTTAAATTCACATCTAAAATGACAGGTGCTGAAGGGAAGAGTGCCAGTTGTGCTGTGATCCCCATCCCACACGGTGTGAATAAGGCTGGTTGGATTTTTGTGAGTCCATATCTGAAGTTGTGTGGATCTGCAGTGGTCAATAGTGGTAGGGCAAACAAAACCATTCTTAACAGGGAGTGCTGGTCTGTTAAGTGACCAAATAGAGAATGAAATGTTTTGGGATGGAAGGAACCTTAAAGCCCATCTTGTTCAACCCCCTGCCATGGGCAGGGACACCTTCCACTAGACCAGGTTATTCCAGGCCCTGTCCAGCCTGGCCTTGGACACTTCCAGGGATGAGGCAGCCACAGTTTCTCTGGGCAATCTGTGCCAGACCCTCACCACCCTCACAGGGAAAAATTTCTTCCTAATATCCCACCTAAATTTCTCCTCTTACAGATTAAAAACTTTTCCTTGTTCTATCCTTATCTGAATGTGTAAAAAGTTCCTCTTTCTCTTTTTTTTTAAGCCCCCTTTTAAGTGAAAGGCCAAAATAATAATGGTGACATGCTGAAATAACCTATGCAGCCTAATATGTATGCCCTTTTCCCTAGGTCTGGTGGAGGTGGAGGAAGGGGAGGTAAATGGACAAGAGCTGTCTATAGCTTCTCACTCCATAGCCAGGATCTCCTTTGCCAAGAAGCCCCATGTAGAGCAGGTGAGTGCACACAGGGCAAGCAATTCCCATAGCATTGCTTGTCCCAGAAGGAGTCTTGTTTAGATGATATGTTATCTGGCATGCTTTAATTACAGAATGCCATCAGGAGTTCTTGGAAGTACAGCATGGCATCCTGGATTATTCTTTCTGTAAGAGCCTTCAGAAGAGATTTTGCACATTATGAGACCCAGAGGGATCTTTATGATAAAAACTGACAGGCTGGATCAGACCAGCTGACCCAGAATCCTGTCTCCAGAATGGCCAGTAGCAGATCCTTAGGGAAGAAGATAGGAAAGTCTTGGCTAAATACTCTTTTTATGGCAGTGGGATTCCTTATTAATGCTGATTTTCTAGATTGATTGCAGTATGGGGATGCACATTTAAGGTGTGGCTGGTATTGGGCCTTATGAGGATATTTCAGGAACACCTGCAGATCTTTCTCTTGCTTTTCAGAGCATTCAGACCTTGCTCTGGGCTCTTTTCAGATCTCTGGCTGCAGGGTAGGTCTGGCACTTGCTGTCAGCTCCAGCTTTGGTTGTTTGCTTTTGTGGGTTTGACTTTTTTGGGATGTGCAGTGGAGGTTTGTTGATACAGCTGGTAGGGGTACAGCCAGCTGTGAGTACAGTGGCACTGCTGGAATCAGTGTGGCATCCTGAGGTCACCTCTGGAAGAGTCATTGTCACATCTGAAGCTGTTGTGGCTGAGCAGCAGCTGAGAGACAGCAAAGCTGAGCAAGCTCTCACAGCCTGATTTTTGTGTACTATAGAACAGACCCTTAGACAACAGAGAGCACAAGTTTGTGCAGATGTAGACAAAAATTTTATTTGCCTACACAGATAATGCCCTAACTTTGGAAAGACCCAATTCCCCTGCCTTTGAATGTATGTTTTCAGTTGTTGGGTTTCCCCCTTCCCAGGAATTCACTCTTGCCGGGCTTTAAAGCCATGCCTCTCACTTCAACAGTGCTTATCTGAAACGAAATCTTTTCCTCCCTGGGCAGAGGGCACCTTGCAGGATTAGGGCTCTGCAGAGGGACCCAGACAGGCTGGATAGATGGGCTGAGTCCAACAGCATGAGATTTAACAAGTCCAAGTGCTGGGTCTTGCACTTTGGGCACAACAGCCCTGCAGCACTACAGGCTGGGGATGGTGTGGCTGGACAGCAGCCAGGCAGAAAGGGACCTGGGGCTACAGGTCAGCAGCAGCTGAACACGAGCCAGCAGTGTGCCCTGGTGGCCAAGAAGGCCAAGGGCATCCTGGCCTGGATCAGTAGTGTGGCCACCAGGAGCAGGGCAGTGATTGTTCCCATGTGCTCGGCACTGGTGAGGCCACACCTTGGGTGCTGTGTCCAGTTCTGGGCCCCTCAGGTTAGGACCCCTGTGAGGAATGACTGAGGGAGCTGGGGTTGTTTAGCCTAGAGAAAAGGAGGCTCAGGGGAGACCTCATCATGCTCTGCAACTACCTGAGAGGAGGCTGTAGCCAGGTAAGGGCTGTTCTCCCAGGCAACCAGTGACAGGACAAGAAGACACAGTCTTGAGCTGCACCAGGGGAAGTTTAGGCTGGACATCAGGAACAAATTCTTCATAGAAAGCATGATTAGGCACTGGAATGGGCTGCCCAGGGAGGTGATGGAATCGCCGTCCCTGGAAGGAATCGCCGTCCCTGGAAGTGTTTTAAAAAAGCCTGTATATGGCACTCAGTGGCATGGTTTAGTTAATAAGATGGTAATGGGTCATAGGCTGGACTTGATGGTCTCAAAGGTCTTTTTTTGACTTAGTTAATTCTGTTATTTCTGTGAACCTGCCTTCTTCCATGGATAATGGGGTTGGATTTGGTACTGTGGAGAGGAGAGAAAACTCTTTGTTTATTTGCCTGCCATAGTGACATTATCCTTCTTTGGCTGGTGCTTTGACAGCAGGCATGCGGATGGCAAAGGGAAGGAGGCACAGGTAAGGGATTCAGCTTGTGGATGCTCATTGCTTGATTTCCTTATGTATTTTCCTTCCCCTGGTTTAGATTACCAGAAAATTCAGGCTCAATTCCGACGGGAAACTCGAACAAACTGTCTCAATGGCAACCACTACGCAGCCTATGACTCAGCACTTGCACATTACCTACAAGAAGGTGACACCCTGACACCGGGAGTACTGGGTATCCTCGTCGAGGGCAAGGAGCAAGGACATCATGCCCCAAGAGCAGCAGCAGCTCAGGAGCACGGCATGGCAGACCCTGGAGCTGGCTGCCTGCGCTCATCCCCTGGGCCTCAGAGCTGCTCATCCTGTTGAGAATGTTACTCAGATGTTTCTGTAATGGTATATAAAAAAAAAAGTAAATAAAAAGCTTTTATTTTTATGGCTGTGTCTTTGGTGTGACTGCAGGGTGGTGTGTGCTGCCTGCTGCTCAGCAGTGCTCACAGAGGGGCTTTGTGCTGCCTGTTCATTTGTAGGTGCTGGGTTGGAGATCCAACCTCCTGTACAACCTGGATAACTTTGGGAAAGCCACAGGTTCTGGAATGGATTTGCAGTGTAGGGAAAGACCCTGTGACCCAGGGGCATGGGATGTGTGAGCAGCAGACACAGCCCCCAGAGCGCAGCCAGTCCTCCATGCTCCCACTTCCGTCCTCCTGCTGTTGCAAATGGATGTTAACTTGCTGGGAATTGCTCTCAGCCTTGCTGCTTTTTAGCTGGGCTTTTAGGAGGAGCAGTGGGAACCACCCCAGTGCTGGCTCCAGGCAAGTCCCACCAGACCATGGTGGTTTTGGCATGTGCAAAAATAAAATAAAAGCCCCGGTCTCTGGGGAGCCAGCCAGCTGAGAGCGGATGAGCACTCCCATTAATGTGTCATTAATGTGCAGCTCTGGCGTTGGCTCTTTTGGCAGTGCAGAGGTAATTACAACCCAACTGTAAAGCATTGCACATGGATTTATTTACTGCCTTATTAGCAGCATCTGTTCTCCCAGCAAAGCGGCTCAGCTGTTTGCTCTCGTTCAGGGAAACCGGTGGAACTCATTGCATGGATGGTCTGTGCTAACTCACCTCCTTCGGCTGGAAACTGGGCTGAAGGAGGTCAGCACCCCACTGTGGTTTCATTTTCACCCTGCTTGCTGGTTTAGTGCCTCTCCCCAGCACCTGAGCCCAGAAGGGGGCACTGAGCTTCACCCCAAACCTGAAGGGCATGGCTGTGTTTGAGATCCAGCAGCATTTCTCTCCCCACCTGTCTCCCAGCACTGCCCCACAATGTTCAACCATCAGAAAATCACAGAATCATCAAGTCATGGAATCATCTAGGTTGGAAAAGCCCTCTAAGATCATCAAGTCCAACCATCAACCCAGCACTTCCACTGTGTTCTTCACTCAACCGTGTCCCCTAGTGCCACTTGCACTCTTTTTTTTAACCTTTCCAGCGGCGGTGACTCCACCACTGTCCTGAGCAGTCTGTTCAAATGCTTGACAAGCCTTTCAGTGAAGATTTTTCCCCTAATATCCAGCTTGAACCTCCCCTGGTGCAGCTTGAGGCCATTTCCTCTTGTCCTGTTCCCTGGGAACAGAGCCTGACCCCTCTCCATCTGTCCCCTCCTGTCAGGGAGTTGTGCAGAGCCAGAAGGTCCCACCTGAGCCTCCTTTTCTCCAGGCTGAGCCCTCCCAGCTCCCTCAACCATCCTTATAAGGCTTGTGCTCCAGACCCTTCACATCTCTGTTTCCTTCTCTGGACACAACTCTTCTCCAGCAAGAGGCAGGGGGATGCCTGGGCCTGCTGCTGCAGCACCCTCAGCTCACTGAGAGCCGCAGTTGCCTGAGCTCCCCAGTGTGTTTGGCTCCCCAGCCAAATCTGAGCCACAGCAGCCAAATCAGTGCTGCAGCATCCACTGCCTTGGCTGCTGTCCTGGCCCAGTGTTGATGCTGAGCACATTTCCCAAGGAAAAGGGATGCTGTGTTTGTTAACTTGAGTGTTGTGGCTAATGCAAGTTAAGTGGCTGCAAATCCACTGGAGGAGCCAGTTCATTTAGGGCCCAGAGCATAATGGGAGGAGGAAAGCACCATCCAAAAGGCTTTTGTTGCCTGTGGTGGGATATGAGGTTCCTCAATAAAAATTCACCCATGCCAGCCAAGGTGCCAGGTTGGGATGCAGAGCTTGGAGTTACAAGTGTAAATATTTATTCATGGGCATGAGATGTCCTAGCCAAAGGGGGGCACCCAGGTATGGTTCTTATGATGTTCTTACATGCATCAAGTGTTCAGGTAAAACAGAACTTGACTGAGCACTGACACCCACACTAACAGATCTCCAGTCACAGTAAAACTTGGCAAAGCCGCTCTGTTTCTGCTTGGCGATCGATCCAGGAGTCCTGGAGTCCCTCTGGCTGCAGTGACTGACCTGTGACACCAGCCAGGGCTGGGAGGGTCTCAGAGCCTGGGGTGCTGTGCTACCTTGCTCATCCCAGGGATAAAGCTGTTCTTTATCCCTCGGGGACTGCTCTAAACCTCCCAAAAGCAAAGTGCTTCTCTCCAGGGCCGGGCTGTTTGTTTTACTTCAGCACGAACAATATCGGAGTCTGCAATACTCCAATACTGCAGAACTCCACTGTTTCTTCACATCACAGTGTTTAATTTATATATATATATATGTAAAGTTTCCATACTTTTGTAATATAAAGGGTGATTGATAGTTAGGGAAGGGATTTTTCATCTCATTTGCCTGGCCTGCAATGCACCTGGACCTCCATCAGTACCACTGGGCTGCCGCTCCTTTTGGCACCATCCATCCCCTGAGCAGCCCCTGCTTGTCACATCTGCTGTCAGACTGAAATAGTTCATGCCTCAAACACTGATATAAAGTTTTGCTCATCATAACAAAAACTGTATAAAGAAGCTACAACCAAAGTAGCCTCCCTGAAGATACCTGACTGGGACTTTGGACTGAAAATCAAACTGCTGAGATTAGATAAAGGGAAAACCTATTCTTCAATCACCTGAAATCAGTAAGTAAACAAGGGAAAGAATGTGAGCCAACCCCAGCAGCTGTGCTGAGAATTGTCTCTGGCTTGCTTGGGGGTGGGGGAGGCCGTAGCCCACAGACCCATGTGCTGGGAGCAGGTTTGCACAGATTTCCCCCCAGCCGAGGTGGGGAGAGGAAGTTTGGTGTTGTAACCTCTGCTCAGGGGCAGTGAACCCATCCTCCCTTACCCAAACCGGCTGTGGAACCCCCAGTCCTGGGAATGCCACATCCACAGGACATTCACATGAGAGAGAGCTGAGGGTGTGCCTTAATCCATCAAAGTCCCCCCCAAAGTGCCCTCCAGAGTCATTCCCAAAGCCTTGCACCACAGGACTGCACAGGATGCTACAAACCCAGAGTCTCTTGTAAGAGACCATGGCAAACTGCCCCCACACCCAGTGAGGTGCTTGGATTTTCCTACCTGGCCTGAGCAAATATTAACCCATCAGATTCTATGCTTTTTGGGGAGACCTTCACCACCAAGAAGATCAGCTGGAGAGAATCAGCAGAACATCACTGGGATCCACGAAGTGCTGATATTTTCCTTATTCTGTCCCTGTCATTCTCTTTCTGTCCCCCCACCCCACTTATTTCCTATTTCTCTCTCTCTCCCCCACATTTCCTACCAAATAAAAACCCATGCTATTGTCAGTGGCACACCGTGTTTGCCCCTTAATTCGGGCAGAGGCGTTTCTAGCAACCTTAGCAGTGGGATGCTGGCAGGTGCCTGGAGGTGTTGGGGTGCCTGGTCCCTGGAGGGGCTGCGGGGATGTGCCAGGGTGACTCAGCCACTCCAGCAAAGTCGGGACTCGCCCGGGCGCTGCAGCTTCTCGGCAGGGATCGCTTCTGCAGCCTGATTTGCTGGGAAGCTGCCAGCCGACTGCCACCTCCTCCTCCCTGCACGCAGCTCCCCGCTCATCGCCCGTGTCTCCAGTGACAAAATGACCCGCAGGACTGGAGGGACCCGGGGCTGAATCCCCGTGGCAGGAGCGGAGCGGAGGAGCCGGTGATGCTGCCGGAGGATGCGGCACGGAAGGTACGGGCAGCCCCGCTGGGGTCGTGGCGGCGGTGGGCAGCGGGGTGGGCAGGTTCAGGGCAGGATTCAGCCCTGCTCTCCGTCCCGGTGGGTGCCGTGACCGCCCCGTGGGACCGAGGGGCCTCCTGAACCCCTCAGACTGGGAGGTGGGCAGCGGGAGAGGCTCTGTCCTTGTCCCCTTAAGGACAGGGGTTCCAGGTGTTGGGGGACCTGGGGTGGGAGCCTCTCCTGCAATGTGGCCATGGCCCAAGCCCCCACGAGCCTGTCTGCCTTGTGAGGCCACGAACAGGAATTAAGGGCACATTTGACCTTCTTTCAACTGCTCTTTCTCCAAAACTCAGATCTGCTGGGCATTGTGCTGATGCAGAAATCCAGTCTGCCAAAATCTGCCTCCCAAGGTCAGTGGGGCTGTGTAGATCCCAGGAGGGAGGCCGATAAAATAGCTTTTTCCTTGCTACTCCATGATTTAGCATCAGCACTCCTTGTTCCCACAAGGACTCCCCACCCTTGGGTGAAATGCAGGATTTGGCTTGAAGAGAGCAGATGAAATCCTCCTTAAACACAGACCCCACGGCTTGGCCAGAGCATCACCTGAGTCCAGTGCTCCCTCCATTACCTAATCCCAGCTTTCCTGAGAGCACACCATCCCCCTTGGGCTCCAGAGACCCCTGGAGCATTTCCACCTTTGCTCCAGCAGCTCTCCCATCTCAGCAAGGGGGGCTGTGAGCGCTCAGGGTGGTTGAGGAGTTTTGCAGCCCCTGCTTGCAGAAAGCCCATGTGCACCTTGGGGCTCTCAGGGCACCTTTGCAGGGGACACAGGGCTCCTCCACAGAGTCTCTGCAGCCAGCATGTCCATATTCCCAGATTTTCCATGCAGGGCTATGCTCAGGCTGCTCACACAAGAGACCTAGTTTCTGCTCTCCCTGCTGCCAGAAATATCTCAGCTGCCTGCAGTGGAGAGCAGGTGAGGAGAGCTACAGGCTGGCAGGCTGAAAGCAGCAGGGCGCTTTGTGGACATGGAAGGGCTTCCCCAGGGAAGCGTGGTGCATGCTGAGGTGGTCACCACGCACATGGCCCCTGTGTCAGGGCTGTGGTGAGGGGATGGCAGGTTCCCCATGGACCAGTCTCCACCCAGGCAGTGATGGATGGGGCACCTCAGTGCTCTTAGTTCATGAGCATCCCTTTTATTTTGAAGGCCAGGTTGGATGGGGCTCGGAGAAACCTGGCCCAGGGGAAGGTGTGCATGCCCTTGGCAGCGGGGTGGAAGGAGATGAACTTTAAGACTCTTCCTAATCCAAACCGTTCTGGGATTCTCTGGTTC